GCAAAAAAACAGAGCGATGCTCGTAAGAGAAAGCTCCATGTACTAACCTACAGGATTCCGAGGTATAAAAAAAGGTGGAATTTCGGAAATAAAGAAAACTAGAAAAACTTCACCTCAAATGATATCAACAAGTTTGAGGTTTGAAGCTGAAATATTGGTATGATGAAGTAAAGTTCAATCTGTAAAGTTTAATCTGCAAAGGCAACTCATTTCATAACGAATCTATGCACCAGGTAAGGAGGAGGGGATTGTGGCTGGAATTAAGTTTCCATAATTTGGCTGTAATTTTGAAACGTAGAGGCTACGGAAAATTTTGACCTCAAGGAGGGGTATCGATAAGGGCCTTTTTTGGCCCCCTCCTAGACTCTGGAAATTTATGCGGATTTTCCAAGTTGACTCAATATAGTTTACGGAAATAAACATGATTTAGCCCTTAAGCCACTGGATATGTGTTAAACGGTTGCCTAAACATAGGTCTGCAGGCGTATTTTAGCGAAAATTTGTGTTTTTCTATCGCTCAGAGGCTTTTTTGACACCGAGCGCATCGTCTAACTAAAACGAGCTTTTGATATGTTATCAAGGAGGCTTTAGGACATTTTTTCGGCCTGTTTTGGTTTTAAGTAGATGATGCGCTCACAGTTAAAAAAAACGTTTTACAAAAATCGACGTTTAAAGGACATCCGCAATAATCTTAGCGAAACACGTCTCTCGAACTGTATGCACGCTATTTATATTATCGAGCGCAGTTATCAAGCCTTGTTAGACTCTTACAGGGAGATTTCCCTCAATTGTGTCCAAAAAAAATTGAATTTTCCATACAAACAGCTGTGAAGATAACGGATTTTGGAGTAGTGGAGGCATATTTTCACTAAACGCATAACATCAACTTAAATATGGAAATTTATGCGGGTTTTCCAAGTTGACTCAATGTAGTTTACGGAAATAATCATGACTTAGCCCATAGGCCACTGGATACGTGTTAAACGCTTGCCTAAACATAGGTCTGCAGGTGTATTGTAGCAAAAATTTGTGCTTTTCTATCACTCTGAGGCTTTTTTGACACCGAGCGCAGCGTCTAATTAAAACGAGCTTTTGATACGTTATCAAGGACGTCTTAGGACATTTTTTAAGCTTGGTTTGGTTTTAGTTAGATGATGCGCCCATAGTTAAAAAAAACTTTATCAAAAGTCGACGTTTAAGAGACATCCGAAAAAATCATAGGGAACACGTCTCTCAAACTGTATGCACCCTACGTACATTATCAAGGTCAGTTATCAAGCCTTGTTAAACCCTTTCAAAGAGATTTTCTTTAATTGTAGCCAAAAAAAACCCTAAAGACGAAATTCCCTAAGATTTTTGCGGATATCCCTTAAACGTCGATTTTTGAAAAAGTTTTTTCAAGTCTCTGAGTGATAGAAAAACACAAATTTTCGCTAAAATACGCCTGCAGACCTATGTTTAGGCTACCGTTTAACACATATCCAGTGGCCTTTGGGCTAAATCATGTTTATTTCCGTAAACTATATTGAATCAACTTGGAAAACCCGCATAAATTTCCAGATTCTAGGAGGGGGCCAAAAAAGGCCGTTATTGATACCCCTCCTTTTATACATTTATACATTTTGAGGTTTGAAAACGGAAACACTTGTTGAGATTTTGGAAGTTTTTTTTTCCTTTCTTCAGAATTCATGATCTGGTACGGAGATTTCATAGTCTTGACTGGATTTTTATTCTTTTTTGGGTTTTTGGTGGTTTATTATTTAAATATTTTCTTTGAATGGAGGATGATAGAGAACGGATGCTTATAGACTCAAGAGATCTTTAAGTCATGGTTTCAGTTTGAAGTAGATCCTGAGACCTCAAGTTTAATAAAACTCAGTTAGACCTATCTTACTGGAGAGAATTTCTGCAGGTTGTCGTTCAACAATGCTTCATAGGTACTTTTTGATCACATTAACTAAGTACCCCTGTGTTATTGTAAAAAACTCAGGGAATGATAAAATGAAATTTTGCTGCCCACCCCATGAATATATCTTGAAAAGGAAGTAATAGGTTTGTCGCTTGCAAGAGATACAGCCAACTAAATACACTTTTTAAAGCGAAATTCGCTTGAAAATCACGCTGGGCTCATCAAAAAAGTCTGTAATCTACTCCTTCGCGCGCAATGTGCATAGTATGTAACACGCTTTTTCTTTACCGCGTATGCGGGCAGTTTTTCTTGGTGACCGGTAGTCAGGTTTGCCTGGAGAGAGACCTAACCTAAATAATCCAGCAATCTCGGGAACTGTTGTAAACTCATTTTGCGTAAGATTTCAATTGACTGTAAGCTTTGGTTTTTGCATAATACATGGTTCGAGTGGCCTGGAAACGTGCTTGATTTTGAAATTAATTTTCAAGGCCTTGAAAGTGCTTGATTTTTGAGGAGAGCGCTTGAAAATTACTGGAAATTTACTTTTCCCCAATTTTCAATGGTTTATTCTCGACCAGAATTTCTGGTGGTTCTCATTTTTCGACTTTTCAAAAATATGAGGTGTGATCCCCTAAAAACTTGGCTTTTATTAACCTACAAAAAATTCCAACCGGATCGGATCATCTTAAGTGGTGCTGCAGCGGCCCACTTGTTCCTGAGCGGTAACTTCATATTTTGAAAAAACGCATGCTTCCGTTAAATCGCAATTTTTTTCCCCTTTGAATTGTTGTTACTGCTTTTAAATTTTTTGAGATAACACACTTTTTAAGGTGATTCACGAAAAAAAGTGACACAATTGACTCCATCACTTTCAAATTGCCCCTTTCCCCCCTTCGAAGTGGCGCCACATCGTGCGATTTTGCCGATTTTTTGTTACATTTTCCAGGCACGGTTTGCCTGAACGAGTACTTTTCGACAAGTCAAAAACAAAAAATTTTCAGATTCTTGAACTGTAGTGCCGAGTCATTGAAGCCAAAAAGAAAAACATTCTTTCGAGCTCCTGGAAAATAAACTTGACTTAAAGGTACCTATCTGGGGCTAAAATGGGCAAATGGCCGGTAGTAAGTCCGGTCGCATTACTGAAAAGAAATGTCCTCGATAGTAGTAATACCTGGGTTTCTTAGATATGTTTATTCGACGTACTAGTACACTAATACCACCGTTTAATGCCTGGGTTTCTTAGGTATGATTATTTGAAGCACGAGTACACTATTACCACCGTTTTCAATCTTATCGTAAATTTTGGAAGCCAAAAATTACCTCTCAGAGCCGAAAACTGCGCAATTTATGTACAAAGCTCCTCAAAAAATGACCTGCATTTTAGGCAGCCGATCTGACCATCCAACCCAGTTTTAATTGAAGCTCATAATAACTGAAAGCTCAGAGAAAACTTTCAAGATGAGAGGAGGAACGGCTTCCAAGTTATGAGGGAGATTAGGAGGGAAGACAGGCCAATATGCTATCTAATATTTGCTGTTTTCTCGTTGAATTGATGTTATCGTGGCTTTTAGTCATAGCTCACACATGTTCAGCATTGCGAAAATTCACTATTTTACGGTTAAAATTGAAATTTCACATCTGGGAGTCGATATATCGATTCGTATTTTAGATTTTTTCTCAATTTGACTTGGAACATTGGTGGTTGGATGTCCAAAAACGTTATACTGGGAACCGGGTGGTTGTATCTTCAATGGCTATTGGTTGTCGGATGGTAACTTCAAAATTGGCTCATCCAAGTCAGATGATAATGAAAGTAAAGCATGTGTAATTTGCGGCGGAAAGTCCTTTAAAATTGTAATGATGAGCGAATCCGCTGTCAAAAGTCACTTGAAACGGTAAAAATATCTAGAAATCGCTCGGCGCTTTGGAAACAAACCTTTTTAACAACAGAGAAGTGTTTATTTGTGGATCAAGCAAAGTTCTACGATACAGGGAGAAAACTGTACGCTTAGGAACAAATTATGAAAAAGTGCTTGAGAATGCTTGAAAATTCTTAAACAAGTGCTTCAAAAGAACTTGATTTTATAATCTTGAGACCGCACGAACCATGTAATAAAGGAAGAAAAAGGAAACCAACACTTGAAAACGATTGAAATCAAATAATAGAAAAAGTTAGTGAAATCATTCGTTCACTTGGGTCAGTTTTTTTTATTCCTCTGCTTGTGCAAACCTGGTCCAAGGTGACTGAGAAAAACTGCCCGCTGACGCGGGAAACTTGAAAAAGCATGTCACGAACTACACAGATTGCGCTCCAAGGAATGGATTTCAGACTTTTTTGACGTGCCCATTGTGATTTTCGTGTGATTCAACCAGTCAAGAGTATATTTATTTGGCTGTATTTCTTGCGTGCAACAAGCCCATTTTAGATATCACGTGCTAGGTATCATTTTCTACTATGAAATGAATGCTCTATGAATAATCATAGAATATACAAAACATAGGCTTAGTGGCCACTTCATTATTCCATGAATATTCCCAGAATATCTGTAGATATTCTATGAATATTCAAGAACCGAGGATATTGTATGAATATTCTCTGCAAAGTGTGTGCTATCTGGATGACTTTAGCTCGACAAAATCAGAGCTGTGTCTGTGAGGCCAGAGCTGCCTTATATTAGAGAAGAAAGACCGTGCCTGTGAAGCAGAGTTTCAGATGCTTACGTAATATGCACGTTGTTTTGAATGCCTGATTTGACCTTAGTTGATCGTGTTATTTTTGCGATCAGGGAATTTGAATTTAGTGTTTGTAATGGAAGAAATACTACTTTTTTTTATAAATTTCGATTCCATTTTATAAAATTTCGATGTGTTCAGTGTGTTTCGGGTGAAATTTTGTTGGGAAAACATTGCTTTAAATGGTCTAATTTTTACTCTGTCCTATGGTCCATTAGGAGGATGGATCTTTAAATTTTTAAAGTCAGGTAAGTGAAAGAGGAGGCTTGCACTCACATTTAATCTGACTGTATTTTCAATGTCCGTTCATAGATCAAAATGCGGGTCATTTATGTGATGTATTTTTCCTCTGTTTAAGCATGAAGCTGTATCGTCAGGGAACTATGAGATCGCTAAAATTTTGCTGGAAGCTGGAGCCTGGGTGTTTGTTCCCGGTTACAATTTTGAAACTGTCCTTCATACAGCCTTGTACAAAACCGAAGAGTTTGTCAAGTTGATGATGAGTTACAAGCCTGACGTGGAAGCTAGAACTATTTATGGCCAAACTCCCTTGTAAGTATTATATGGAGAGAATCAATATTACGTTAATTTTCTTCAAAAATGTTTCAGTTATAGAGTGAAATTTCGCAGTGACAAGATATTTCTAGCCCAAAAGCAAGTAAAATGAACCAGCCAGTAAAAAATCGACTTTCACTGTGTATTAGCCGTCCTGGACGCGCTTTGCGCGTTCAGAACGGCCAGCCAAGGGGTTGCGCCCCCTGGACCCCCGATCACTCGCTACGCGAGTGACATTCGGCTCGCTCCGCGAGCCATTTTTCTCAGTGATTGGGCATTTGATCACTAAGATGTATACATATTGGAGACTCTGGAGGCAAAAATGATTTCGTCACAGAACCTTGTTGCCGGAGCGTGCCATCATTTGCACATGAATAGATGTGTGGAGATGAAGCGATGATGGGGATCCATCATTTCTTCAAAAACGCATTTGACTGGGACGTCATCCCATTGGGTGGCGGAAGAAGACAATCCATGGATCTCCTTCCGCGATTTGACTCGCTGAAGTAGCAAAAGTTCATCTTTACCTCTTAAGAAGATTATCGGTGGCGTAGGGGTCTAAAAACTGCTCAACGATAGTATAGTTCGAGTTCCGAATCGCAATGAGCCCACTTGTGTTTTTTTCTTATATTTTCATCCCATATAAATTTCGCTGATGTTTTTGTTTTATTCTCTCTGATTGCAAATTAGTAATCATATCCTCATTTCATTTCCTTTCCCTTTCCTTTTTCCTTTTTTTTTTGTAGCATCTTGGTCCGTTTACAATTACTATTATTATTATTATATTATTTTTTTTTTTTTTTTTTTTTTTTTTTTTTTTTTTTTTTTTTTTTTTTTTTTTTTTTTTTTTTTTTTTTTTGTAACTCAGAAGAGGGAACACTTCCGGCACAAGTATTACTGACGGACCACAGGCCAAAGTCAGTAACACATACTAGCTTGCTTGAAAAAAAGGGTAAACGTTATTTTAAAGTAAAATTTAAAAAAAAAAAAAAAAAAAAAAAAAAAAAAAAAAAAAAAAAAAAAAAAAAAAAAAAAAAAAAAAAAAAAAAAAAAATTTAAAAAAATTAAATTTTAAGCGAAATCAAAAAAATTATTCGATATTAAGAAACGACCTGACAATACTTGACGTGCTTATAACGACGGACTTCTGCATTGAATGAAGCAGGTAACTGTTTATTCCGAGGTCTCGAAGATGTTGAACTAAACTTTTTGGAACTATCCCCGTTACTGACATTATCAGGGGTTTGATACAAACAATATTCAGGTTCCATAATCGCTTCATTTCTGCAGCTAAGGGCAGATATTTTACCATCTTTTCCTGATACTTCAGCTCCAAGTTATGATTATTAGGGACGCTAATATCAATGATGTAAGCGGTGCGATCTCGCTTATCAACAAGCACTATGTCCGGTCTGTTTGCCATGATGGTTTTATCGGTTAGGATCGGGTTATCCCAATAGAGCCGGAAGCGCTGATTTTCCAGGACCGTGGCTGGGCAATATTTGTAGTAGGGTTCAGCAGTATCACATAGTTCTCGATCGTTGGCCAGCGCTAGATGTATAATTTTAGCCACGTTGTTATGCCGCTCGGTATATTCCTTCCCTGCAAGCAATGCGCAACCAGATGTAATGTGATCTATTGTCTCGGATGCAGCATTACACTTCCTACACTTATCGCTCTCGATCTTCTCCTTCAGTATATATCTCTTGTAATTCCTGGTACTGATCACTTGGTCTTGTATTGCGAGAACAAATCCTTCCGTTTCTGGATACAGCTGCCCTTTCGATAACCACAAGAAAGACTTTCCTTCACTAACATGATCCTGCGCAACTGAATGATAAAAGCGTCCATGCAGCGGCTTGGAGGCCCATGCCTCCAACTGGCCAGCAACTGGGTCTGAGGGTTGTTCTTCATTCAGATCGTGACAAGCGAGGCGCAAAGGCGTGTAGGATTTATCTATGGCATTTACTGCAGCGTGCAAAGTGCTGTCGTTTCTACTGAGGAAGTAATTTCGCAGGTTACGGACTTGGCTGTGGCAGACCTCCTTCACATCAAGGATACCTCTTCCCCCCTGTTTGCGGGGGATGTGTATTCTCTCCTTCGCGGCTCTTGGGTGATGCTTATTCCACTTGGTCATCAAGGTTCTGACTTTCCTATTAAGCCCCTCAAGCTCCGTGTCAGACCATGGGACAACGCCAAATGAGTACGCTAACGCAGGAATGGCGAAGGTGTTGATTGCCTTGGTCGTATGTTTTGAGTTTAGAGAGGTCTTAAGTATCGCACTCAGCCGATCAACGAAGGTGTTGACCAGGTGCTCTTTGACTCTCACCTTCTGGATGGAAGAGCTCTGCCACATTCCAAGGTATTTATAAGCATCCTCCATTGTCAAGCTATTGATGACGTCACCAGAATTGGTCACAAAACCATCCTCCCGCACTATAACGCCGTTTTCTATATGGAGCGTCGCGCATTTAGGTACTCCAAGCATCATGCCAATATCATCACTTATTACTTTTATTATTATTATTATTATTATTATTATTTTATTATTACTCAATATAAAGCTGCTGTTCCCACTCACAATGCCCCCCCTAGATAAAAATTGGCCCAAGCGATTTCCTTTAAAATTGGTACACGCTTAGCTATTGTAATGAGGAGTTGATTAAAATTATTCCCACTCAAATCCGCTGCTTAGGACGCCCGCAAGAGCGAAAAGTTGTTTCTCCATATAGTATTACATTGGAGATACGCGGTTGTTTACGCGCATCGCGCCGAACAGGTTCAATCCTGTTGCGTGACGTCACTGCCTTATAGACGATACTCAATATAAAGCTGCTGTTCCCACTCAGTATGCCCCCCCTAGATAAAAATTGGCCCAAGCGATTTCCTTTAAAATTGGTACACGCTTAGCTATTGTAATGAGGAGTTGATTACAATTATTCCCACTCAAATCCGCTGCTTAGGACGCCCGCAAGAGCGAAAAGTTGTTTCTCCATATAGTATTACATTGGAGATACGCGGTTGTTTACGCGCATCGCGCCGAACAGGTTCAATCCTGTTGCGTGACGTCACTGCCTTATAGACGAAATATAAGGTTTTAGGTGGTATTTTTCAACGGATTTTTGTGGAAAGTGGTTAGCGGGGGTATTTTTCAACGGGGATCTCGAATTTTTGGTCGGATTTTCAAAATCTCAAAATCCAAGATGGCGGCCGTCGCCTAAAATGCTAAGTCGGCTCCTGTTCGATCGATTTTCGTGAAACTTGGTATCCGGGGGTACTTTTCGACGGGAAACTCGAATTTTTGGTCAGATTTTCAAAATTTCAAAATCCAAGATGGCGGTCGTGGCCTAAAATGCTAAGTCGGCTCCTGTTTGATCGATTTTCGTGAAACTCGGTATCCGGGGGTACTTTTCGACGGGGATCTCGAATTTTTGGTCGGATTTTCAAAATCTCAAAAATTCAAGATGGCGGCCGTGGTCTAAAATGCTACATCGCTTCCTGGTATCGATCGATTTTTGTGAAACTCGGTATTATTAGAATTTTAGGTCCGATTTTCAAAAATCATAAACGGCGATCGTGGTCTAAGTTGTTATCTCGGCTTCCGATCCATCGATTTTTGTGAAATTCGGTAAAAGGAGGTGTATTTTGACGGGAAACTCGCATTTTTGGTCAGATTTTCAACATTTCCAAATCCAAGATGGCGGCCCCGCAAGAAAACGAGGTCCGGACTCCTAGAACATCAATTTCTGTAAAACTTGGTGAAAAAGAAGATTAAGACATAAAAGTTGTCTCCTCATCAATGTTAAAAACTGTGCGGGGCGGTGGCGGCTCGCGGAGCGAGTCGCAAGTTCGTCGCGAAGCGTAGAACTGGGGTCCAGGGGCACTCCCCGGCTAGACGTGTCAGCTCGCAAAGCGAGCTAATCACGACTAGTTTTAAAATAGCTTTCCCCTAGTATACAATTGTTGCTTCAAACGGAATCAATTGTTTTAATGATATCTCCGGCTAAATCATGGGTTTTCCCAGGAAGGCAGCCTCTCGTCCCTCCCGGACTCTATTGTTGCCAGATAAGTTGCTTTTTTAGCACTTCTTCCAATTCAAATCCATGTAAGATATTCACATTTATCGCACAATCTGGCAACCTCTCGAGTGAAATAGAAAAAGGTGGAATCGCTGAAAGTCTGAATCCTTTGCAGTTTACTAGCCGTTCTGGACGCGCTTTCCGCGTCCGTCACGGCCAGCCAAGCCGCTGCGCGAGTGGCATTCGGCTCGCTCCGCGAGCCATTTTTTTCAGTGATTGGACATTTGATCACTAAGATGTATACATTTTGGAGACTCTGGAGGCAAAAATGATTTTGTCACAGGTTATTTTGTTGCCTGAGCGTGCCATCATTTGTATATGAATAAATAGTCCAGGCAAATAAGCCACGAAAGGGGCTATAGCCTGCAAAAATCCCGGGTAGCAATGTTTTCCTCGATTCCTATGTAATTTTCAACGCTGAATCCGAATTTCAACTTTGCGCCATTAAAGTCGGACCGGAAAGTTGCCAAATTTGGCAAAAATGGCCTAAAATCGGCCTTTTTCCCGGATTATGAACTGTAACTTGCTAAAAATTGATCTGACGATAAAATTAGTTATTTTCAGAAATAAAGCTCGTTGAATTTCCTATAAAAAAGTTCCTATACACTTTTTTGCTCAAGGCAAAATCAAGCGCGCTGGCGGGCTCCGAACTTTGTAAAATGTGCAAAAATTGCGCATACTGTAATGTGCTTAGTTATCCTTATTATTTACATCAATTCATTTCACTAAGTGTAATTTTATCATCTTCACTTAATTTGTCCAGAAATCACTAGTAGTCCAGTACCAATAGGAGTTTGTGAATGCAAGAAAGAGGTCAGAAGAGGTTAAAGCTGTTTCTTATGTATTTTTGGTCGCTGAATCCGAATTTGATGCTTCCCACCAAATCCGCCTTGTGCATTTTCCGGAGAAGCCGGAAAA